CACAGATTAACAAAAATTTGGTCATAGATTGACAAACATTTGGTCACATACTACCGCCGCTTGGTCACAGGTCACAGATCGACCAAATGCTTGGTCACAGATCGCAGCCACCACACCCGCAGCCACAGAACACTCGCAACAGCAGATCCGCCACCACCATCAATAGATCCGCCACCAACGACCGCAAACATAAATAGCCAACCACCAATCCGCCACCAGCCAATCTGCCACACCCAATACTCCGTCGCAAACCACCACCCACCAACAAATTAGATCCAATTGAATCAGCAATCGAATCACCAAATCGGCCACCAATCCGCCGCCCCATACTCCAATCGAATCAGCACTCCACCCCAAACCACCTCCCACCGCAAACCACCACCCACAGCAAACCACCACAGATCACTCCACCGTAACCCACCGATGCAGGAAGTTACATGTAAAAAACCACAAGAAGATGGTTGAAAAAGCAGCTTTGGTAATCGAACCACACCAAACCGACCCGAACCACCCGGATTAACACCTTTATAAACATGCATATATAGATGTGAAAAGTCGGTGGTAGATGATTCTAGCTCCCGTTTGATTCCCATTCTTGGGGTAAAATGTATTATGGAATAATGATTTTTTTAGAGAATGGATAGTTAAAAAATAATACGTGGTTAAAAATTAAGGAAAAATTCTTGAAATACTTGTATAATTATTTTATAAAAGAATGTATGGTTGGAAATAAATTTTCAAAAAAAATTCAAAAAATGGGGCTCAAACAGGGGCGTATGGCGGTGGCTCTCCTCCAAAATGTCTAGATTTTTCTTCAATGGTGGTTGATATATTTTGATGAAGATTTTAGATTTTTCTTGGTTGCTTGAAGAAGCAACCCAAGAAACATTCCACAGAAATCTAGAATCTTCTTTTTAAGTCGGTGGTGTATCTTTAGTTAATTATAGAAAAAATTCGAGTGGTAGTTTTGGATAATGCTACTCAGTAGTTAGTTTAGCCACTGTTTGTTTGGCATTATTTCCCATTTTGTAGAAGATTTATGACCATTGATAGCCTTAATTTTTGACCATTGTCTCTCATGGTGGGACCCAGTTTTTTAAAAAAATGGTCAATTTTTTTTCATTTTCTCCCTACAATAATGCCAAACAAATAGGGGCTTAGTGTTAGTTCCGAACTTATTATCTTTATCCTCAATAAACTGAAACCTTAAGAAGGCAGAAAACCGGGTACGGTGCAAGATGAAGTTGGTGAATAGGTAGTTATAGAGGAAGACAACAATCAAGATGACGAGATGGATAAAAAGAATGAACACGAATGCAGGTCGAGTTTCTGTGCTGTGGTGTCGGCTGCGAATGCTTTTGTCGTTGTCATTGAGGTTTTGAGAAAATATGCCAATGATCATCGAAATTATTTTCTTATAGTTGAACATTCAAATTTCTATTGAGGTTTTGAGTAAATATGTAAATGTCATACTAAACCCTTATTTGGTATACATTCTTTCAAAATTCAATTTCAACCATAAATTCTTTAATAAAATAATACTTTCCATCACATTAATAACTTTTCCTTACTTTTTAATCACATATTTCTCATTATATCACTATTTAAAATGCATTATTTCCTCAATAATATCCATGAAACACACCATAATCATCACTCGATTCAAAACATTAATATGGCACCTTTAAGTGCCAATATGTCAACAAAACAACATTACTTGTCACGTAAGTCGGCAAAATTCAAGAGGGGCTAACGAGATGTAACCGTTAGAAACTCAAGTTACTATTACTATAAGAATATTACTTCAATGACTATTTACTCAAAACTTCAGTAACCATAGTGTACTTAACCTATATTCATGCTTTTCCGCTCGACTACTCAATTCTTTTGGCAATTAAAATATATGATGCTAGGCATCAAAAAAGAAAAAAAATCAATAAGCAAATCATCTAAGGTAAAAAGTTGCACATGAACATTCATAGATTACTGATTCCTTCGTTCATTTACTTTGTTCTATTGGATTGATGAGTTTTTGAAAGTGGACTGTACCAATAGCTCCAACTTAATTTCCAAGACATTGGATTTAGAAACTTAGTAGTCAATATACCTAAATCAAAGTTTGGAGAAAAATCCTAGACCATTTTCGGACAAAAAAAAGTTCGACGACTAGCATAAAAAAGAGAGCTTACTCCTAACATGGTGGTATAATAGGAAAAGTTAGCAACTGCAGGAAATGATATTAGCCAACTCAACTCAAACAATACACTCAATTGGCTTGTTTGGTTTTACTCGACAAGATTTTACATATTTATAATATACACTACATACATCTCCCAACTAAGCTAATATTTGAAGTATATACACACATTAATGAAAAAGAACGTTATTCAAAGAAATGCATATACTTCTATCATCTAAAATCCATTAGTTTGGTTCCACAGGAGTGAATTATAAATCCTCAAGCCAAAAAAACACGGAAGCTAGCTCATATTGAGTCATCCTTATTTGCTTTGGCCTTCTCAATGGACTCCATCGCTTCTTCAAAAGATTTCTGGCATCATGTAAAATTTAAGGAGAGTGGAATCAGTTTAAAGAATCTAACAATGAAAATAAAAGCCCACTGATTAAATCATATGCTTTGCTCTAGCTCAATTAAGATCTTCCTTCGCTTTCTCACCACACGGAGTTTTCTACTGAATGCTGCTTTTGTCGGGTAAATATATATATATATTTTTTAATGGTTCTACTATATAAGTGTTTTTATGAATTAATTGATCGTACATTTTCATGGATTCTAGGATCATCTACCTGGATATAAAGTAGATATTTTTGGTATCAATGGTGATCTTATGTGTCAGGCGTTCTATGATTAGATTTAGTATTTTATTTTATTTTTTAATATCTCGCCATAAAAAGAGCTAAAAGGCTGATGTACAAGTATTTCTTGGTTATGCAGATTCTGATAGATTGAAGTTTCGCATTTATAATAGTGTAACACTTTCTTTGGAAGTGTTTCATATCGTTAGCTCATATAACTCTGAATTGAAATGGAGTGGATGTGGTTTGTAGTTCACGTCATTAACGTTATTCAAATTAAGATGGATGGATAAATAAAGAAATAATGTTTAATTTGTTATACCGGGAAGAAGTAATAAATTCCTTCTCTTCCATGGAGATCGAGATAGTAGAATAGAAATTGAAATAGGAACCAAGTAACAAAACATATTCCACTGAAATGCAAATTTATGAGTGAAAATTGAGTATCAAACCGAAGCCTACTATTAGGTTATCATTTCCTTCTCTCTTCCAAGGATTTGTACCGATTCAATTAATGGCTTCGTATTGAAACAGGAGAAGAAAGATGCAAGAGCTGAAAACAAGGACAAAAACTGAATGACATACCCCAGGGTTATGCCTCTCCCAGAGTGCCTTCCCACCTGCATCAACCACAAATGTCCCACCTAACAAAACACTGCACAAAGATTTAAGTTAGTAACCATACTTTGAGAAATAACAAAATTCGATATTATAACCCGGGTGTTTAAAGTGTAAAAGGTAACTCCAACTTCTCAGCATGCACTGGATATCCCCATCAGACACCTTACACTTGGACAAGGATATTGACCACTTGAGCAGTATTTTGAACCGGCTATAAATTCAAAGGGAACCAAACTAAAAATATGTTTTGATTTAGAAGTCCAGATTGTACAAAACTCTTACATTTTTAATGACTTCATCTTTTTCTTCAGTTTCTTGAGCTTTACATATTTAGGTAAAACATAACCATCCATTACTTCATATTAGTGCCGGTATGTATCACAAGTCATCATTTTCACTAGATTGATTGGTTAAAAGGTTTATATCTTAAATGATAAAAGTAAGTCCAATTTGACACATTCCCATACGACTATTTTCAGCCGTCATAACAAATATGTATTGAACCATACTGTGTTTTGTATTCTCTCTTTTCAGGTGACGGAATTTATTACTTCTTCCTGGTATAACAGATTAAACATTTTTTCTTTATATATCCATCTTAATTTGAAATTGCAATTATTGCAATTACTGCACTTGATGTTTTCATATCCACTCCATTTCAATTCAGAGATATATGAACTAATGATCTAAAACACTTCCAAAGAAAGTTTTACACTATTATGAATGTGAAACTTCAATCTATCAGAATCTGCATAACCAAGAAATGCTTATACATCAGCCTTTTAGCTCTTTTAAAAAGGAAATACTAAATCCAATCATAGAACGCCTGACACATTAGATCACCATTGATACCAAAAATATCTACTTTATATCCTAGAATCCACGAAAATGTACGACCAAATTAATTCATAAAAACACTTACATAATAGGGAAAAAAAATTAATTACCCGACAAAAGCAGCGTTCAGTAGAAAACTCCGTGTGGTGAGAAAGCGAAGGAAGATCTCAAACTTCGTCGAAACACTAACACCAGCACCTCTGTATGCAGTCCCACTATAACCATTCCCATACCCATACCCATACCCATGCCCATAGAAATTACTATAATTGCTGCTCTTTCCTCTGTTTCGATAATTATCATATTTATACCCCGTGTTTTGGGCATTTCTACGGAGATTGTAGTCGGCGCGCTTGCGATCGTCAATTAGGGTATCATAGGCCTCGGAAAGCTGCTTGAATTTGAGGGTGGCAGAGTCTTTGAGATGTTGGGGAGAATGCGAATGTTTATCTGGGTGGAATTGCAGCGCCAATTTGCGAAATGCTTGCTTTATTTCTTCTTTACTTGCTTTCTTGTGCAGACCTAGCACTTTGTAGTGATCCATTTTTGTTCTTTTCTATTTGGGGGATTTTGTTGAGGGGAAGGAGAAAGGTTTGGGTATTTTTGTAATTGACTATTGCTAGGTGTAGGCTGTGTGGGTGGAAGAAGAGGGGAAGATGGCGGTGGAAGTGGAGGAGTTTACGGTTCTGAGGAGAGGCACGGCGGCCCGGTGTCCCCGGACGCCGTGGCCATGTTATTGCCCACATATCGTAAATTTAAGGGAAAATATGAGTGAAGGTCACCTACTCATTGCTGATGTTGCAGTTTAGTCCTCGCTTTTTCAATTGTTCAACCTTTCATTTAAAATTATTAACCTCAAAAAACTATTTAACTTTTCAAAAGTCATAAGGGTCCGTTCGAATGCGAAAGTGGAAAAGAATTTCAATTTCGTGATAGTTGGAAAATAAAACCCACAAAATACATAGGAATTCATTTTTCATGAAAATACAACTTAAAGTGATTATACCTTGAAATTTGGTTTCCATTTCTCCATTGCAATCAAACGGTCAAAGTAAAATTTGTTTTTCTCATATGTGACTTTGTCATGGAATTCATTGCTATCAAACGGACCATTATTTACATTTGTAGTTCTGAAAAATAGATATAGCCCATGTTTGGTTCGAATTAAAATCTGATTTTAATCTAAGTCAAAGTCAAACAATCAATATTAATTACATTTTTCATGGATCCCACAATTTTTCGATAACACATTTCAAAAACTTCTATTGCAATATACTAAAAACTAATTTTAATCTCCATCAAACACCCTCAAATGCCTTTGAAATAGAACTGAGTAGTACAAGTCATTCTGCCGATAGGAGCGGAGCCAAGGGGAGAAATTTTTTTTTTAATAAAATTATTTGTTGCCTAAAAAAAATTCGTTTTTTACATAAATATTATGTATAATGTTTTACATAATATTGACGTGTCATTGGTGTCAATATATAAGTGAAAAAATTATTTTATTAATGAGAGTTTGATCTAATTAAATCTCGTCATATCATCTGTTGGTAAACTACTATGTAAATTATAATGTATATATATAGCATAACCTAAAAACTAAATATGCTTAGGACAAGCTTGGATTGTTTGTCATGATATAAAATATGTTTGGGAAGTGTTTATGAAGAATTTAAATTATAGTGTTGTGAATAAGTGGATAATGCTTGTATATTCTTTGAAATCAATAAATTATAAGTGTTAGTATTTATAAACCGTATATAAGCATAATCGAACATAGGCAAAAATTGAAGAGAGAAATGTTAGGAGTTAAAAGAACAAATTCCATGCGTCCGGATTGTCTAAACATTGAGAAACACATTTGATGAAACTCAACACTTTTATCAACGTTTCGACTGTACATTTCATTAAAATTTATTAAAAATCTCATTTTTAGTTAACCAAATTGTCAATTCTCTTAATTGAACATATCAGGACCCATTTTTCCACAGTAGAAACCAATCTCTAATTAAATTAATCTAAAAAAGGGAAAAAGTTAAAAATCATACAAGAAAAACACATTAAGAAAGACGTCCAACGTAATTTTTAACGTAGCCTAACAAGCCTATAGGCTATAACAGGACGTTCATTATGATACATCAGTTTACAAGAAAGTTCTGTACCAGTATTCCCGTTCAAAGAAATAACGAGGCAGCATAAGAAAATTTTCAGCCAGAGATGGCAGCTTCTACTTTGCATCATATCCTTCATTTACTATCCTCAATTCCTTCAGTTATGTTTTCCTGTGATTCATTCCCATCAGTTTTACTAGCCTCGACTTCATTCTCATTATTGTTTCTGTTCGGAAATATCTGCCCCACCTTGACATACTTCTCCATAAATTTATATTCCCAATCTTGCAAAACCTCCAACTCTGAATCACTCAGACCTTCTATGTTCCCTGTAAGGTCTTTGGGGTCAAACGACATTAGAGCCAAGGCTCGGCTTGCATCTCGACCAGTAAAAAGGGCGTAGGGCCCACCAGGACCATAAAACATCCTGACAACAAAGTATCAAGTCAGAACCACTTCAAATTTTGACTGGAAGAGATTAAGGGCGTGTTCGGTAAAGATTAAAATTGAAAAACTAGCGTTATTGTTGACTTTTATTAGACGAGTGGAACCCAATAATGACCATATTTTCAATTAAAATTGGATTTTAATCATGCGCAAACATGCTCTAAATGTTTCAAAGTCAACATTTTGTAATGTCTCGGCAACTCAAAATGGGAACCTGAATGATCAAAATGTAAAGCGCCATCTTTATAAGGAGATAACATTGCGGGTCATGTAAAACTAGAGAAAGAATGCATATAAAAATGAACGGTGAGCAATTGAAAAACTTGCTGCAACTAAACAAAGCTCAATGAAGGAATAGCCACCGCCTGATTCTTTACCAAAGGCAATGCCTTGTGAAGGGCTAAATTGATCCAACAACAATTCCTTTTCTCCCTTCCCTGACTTTCCCATTTATCCATCAATGCATCAAATTTCACCATCAACACGTGTACCTTGAGAAACTCAGAACTCATTGACTATTCAATTTTCTTCAACCTTCTCAATCGATTTTCTAATTGCTTTTCCTCATTGGTCCTAATTTCCAGAACAGTTGCTTTATTAACACTTCATAGATTCACTATGTACAGAAAATAAAGTGACGTTGCATTAAAAATTTACATTGAAGTGCTGAAAAGAAAAATAATGACCGAATTACAAAGAAATGAAATGAAAGGCAGATCGTTGCTGAACTTTGAGAGGTTCAACTTCTCTCCCATTTCCCACTATTTCTTGGATGCTTCAAATGATATCCCTAACACCCTATTTATATGGTTTGTACTACCTTTTAATTCCTCCCCCATACTACAAATGTAAAGACAATGTATATAAATGATTGTGAATTGAATATGGCTTTCCATTTCCTTGGGTGAAATTATTGGTCAATTTCACCCCTTTCTTGCACCGGTGATGCACGAATTTAATAGGGGTAATAAAAAAAATCTTTTACAAACACATCACTAAAATCAGCATCCTTCAACAATTAATCCCAAACAATGCATCTGAAAGTACATATCAAAAGGACTATAAACCAGCAAAAATAGAAAGAAAAAAACCACTTCAATTCACCACTAAGAAATTTAGCTCCATGAAATCAATTTTAAGAGAACAAATACAGAAGCTCTAAAAGAAAATTGAGATATTCAATTATATCCTTTTTTCATATACAAGTTTTGGAATCTGAATTCTGCTATATGTTTTACAACAGTAGGGTAGAGAGTCAATAAAAATGCAAACCTAATTTGGAAATATTAAATTATGATGACCCCAGAAGACAAAAGTGTTGCAAGTTTCTTTGCCAATGTCGCCATTAGCATGCCCCTCCTTTTTAAGGTAAATGCTATTCAAATTAAAAGAATCTTACAAACAATTTTACCAGTAAACTATGTGCCAGTTAAATTCTATTTTTGAAGTTTAAGACGGGATTTTACCAAGACAATGACGCTCTGCAATAAGAAATATCCCCATTAATTATGAATGAGCGATATATCAGGGTGGAACCTATTCTACAATGGATCCATATCATGAACCAACTTTTGGACTCCATTTATCATTTCATGCAGAAATTAAATAATCTCTACAATTACACCTGCCATTACTCTCCCACATTTTATTTTGTTTTATAATGTGTGTTTCCACTAACTTGTATGCAAAAAGTACACAAGCAAACAAATTGGCAGAAAAATTCTACTCTTTGAATGCATTCATTGCTTCTTCCTTTTTTAATGTAGTATTGATTCAGAGCACGTTCCACCTTGACAGAGCAAGGTACAAACCACGCAGCCTAACAAATTTACAATGTGCTAGACTCGGGACATTGCTCTCCATCTCTCATCTTCTCCGCCATTTCCCTTGTGGAGCATTAGACACAAGTGCACATGTTCCATGTGCAACACGGAATCACTCCACATCCATATACGAACCATAAAAGTTATTTCCCTTACTCGTTTGGTAGTATCAAAACCAATTACCTAAGCTACTTTTTTTCTAATAAAGTTAATCATGTGCTCGAAAACAATTATGATAACTGGAGCAAAAATCATTATATTGAAACCAACATATCTACTATTTCTTTCCTTGATAAAAAAGCAATTTATATCATATGATACGGAACATACTGTACCTAGAGCGAGAAACATCATAGATCTGTCCTTTGATGGCCATAAGTAAGGGCTTGTTTGGATCAGAACCATCATAAGCTCTGAGCTCCTCCTCGGTAACATCGCCAAGCTGTACCGGCTCACGCGCAACAAACTCATTGGATTTTTTGACCGCCACATAATCTTCGGCCGCCACGAACATGCTGCACACCACCTTGTAAGTCACTACCATCAGCGCTACTATGGTGAAGAACGCCGCCGGCGATAGGCCCGTATAGTGGTTGATCGTTTCCGTCAGAGTGGACCATAGAGCCATTCCGCTATAGCTTGTTAGGGTTTTGGATTCGAGAAACAGAGAGTTGAAGTGAGGAATGGAAGACCCTCTGGCTAACAAACTCGATTAATTATCCTGTGGAAAAGGGGCTGGTGTGAAATCTGGTGGATTCTGGCGAGGGGCAAATAAGTAAATTTAGAATTAGCAGTAGGTAACGATCAGCTATGGGTTTTACTACTTGTACAGTGCCCCCTCACAATGGTGAGCCACGCCCTATAAAAAAAGGAATTAGTCTAAATGTACCGAATGGGGGTGCCGAATGGTGTCTCCCCTCTCACAATGCGCGCAGGCCCCATGTGTATTTAAAAATTTCAGCTTGTGGTTCCCACCTCCTAATGTGAGGGGGGTAAAAAATTCGGTATAAAAATTCGGTACATGTAGCGTAACCCTAAAAAAAAGAATAATGCTTGTTGAACATGGACAATGATTTAATGGAGGAGACAGAGTGGTGTGACAAAAAGTGATCTCGAATGTTGTTTTTTTTTTTAAACTGTTCAATCATGTATTGATACATATTTCCTCTGTCAATGAGTCTGTTAACATAACTCAATAAAAAAATCGTGAAACCCCTTATTGTGAGGGAATCTATACACCAGAGTGTCAATCCGATATACAAGTAATAAAGAATTAAAATAAATGAACATAATGCTTGACATAGGGAGTTGACCGACCTCTCACATTGCATGTGGGTCCCGACCTGAATTAAATAATGCCGACCTTCCCCATATGTGTTTGTTGTGTCATCCCCTATATCAAATATTATATTTGTGTAGCAAAACTCAGTAATAAAACCCCTTTGAATTTACCTATAAACTCAAAACATTTCATTATTTTTTAATCACACATTTTCCGACCTTTTATTAATCTAAAACACATTTTTTGGTAAAAATGGAGCTCAAACAAGGGCCCCACACTTGTGTACTGTTCATAGATAAGCAGTGACGTCAAATATTTTTAGTCTATTTATTGTGACATAAAATCTTGATAAAAATTTAAGTTAAAATCAAACAATAAAAATTGTCAAGCATAAATTTCATCAACTTTTATCAAAATTTATTAAAATCTGATTTTTAACTACATAAGAGCTTAGTCAATTTTGAATCTTCCAGTGAACTGAACACCGAGTGGAACGTCGGTTTTAAAAACGTAACCCAAATAACATAAAGATTCTTCATTAGAGTTACAGAAAAAGAAAAGGAAAAAAAAAAAGAAAAGAATATATGACTCTTACATAGGATTGTTATAGAAAGGAAAGATAAATTTCATCAATTGTTTCCCCTACGGTCCTATATTTTGCATGATATCAGGAGGCCAGAGAAATTCACTTGACTATAAGATGTCTATACCTGTCTCTCGAAAAGTACACTATAAAGATTACAAGAAGTGCTAGAAGTACAGGAAAATTTCCACAGATTTTGCACAGGAAGACAGCTGTCGTGATTGGCTGCTGCCATCTGTGGAAATTTCTTGTACTTGCAGATTTATTCAAAGATTATATAGGTAATCTCGACTGAAGATTATAGCTAAATAATCTGCACTAGCAATGTAACCCCCGACAAGAAAACGACCCATCTTTTCTTAATTTAGTTATTTGCAGCGTTTTTATCGTCATTTTCCTTCCTGCAATCGAGCTGCAAATGCTCAATCGCATCAAGATTGTCCAAGTTGGATATTGTTTCGTCGTTACATGTAGAATCACCCTCATCCGAGACATTAGAACCAACATCTGAGACCGATGATTCTGATTGCTGTAACTCGGACATCACACTCATTTGATCAGAGTTTGATGCATCACTTGCATCACACATCTTTTTCTCTTCTTCCTTCATGCGTTTTGCATAAGCTTGATAGTTGAAATTTTCTGTGCTTTTCCCACCAAAGGAAGACTCCAGCTTGTCCATGTCAAAGAGAGCTTCCATTATCTTCAAACTCTGAGGCTGGTCTGAGTAAACAAACTTTACTTTTTTGTACGTCTTATGCTCAAGAAATGGCTTCACCAACTGCAAGTTCAACATAAGGAACAAAAATGTTATATATGATATAATAAAGGAACTGAATGTCTTCAAAAATAGAGGGACCATTTGTAACCTACCAACCAAAAGGACTCGAAGACTTTTGGTGGATTGTAGAGGATCGCAAGACCAAGCCTCTCTGGGTAACAATCCTGCAACACGCGAGCTGTTTCTCGAGTTACCTTCACTGATAAACAACCCATGTTCCATCCTTGAAAGTCAATTAACCATACCATCTGCTCCTGTCCTGGATTCAGATTCCATATAGCATTCTCCATGCAATATACCAAGTACTTAATTTGCCCTTCAACAGCTTGTGTATTCTGACCCATAGAAGATATAATATAACAAAAGAAGAAAGCAACAAATGCAATTGTAGTAATGCAGCTGCAAAGGAATACACATGATATTGCTATTTTTAGTGGAATGGATATTATGAGCATGTGTGGTTACGCTTAATGGTTGCTTTATAAAATGTATCTTTCCAGAAAAGTTCTGTTAGGACGAAAACTAACATTGGAAATCATGATTGGCAAATATCTTAATAGAAAATTTGACTAACTTATTAACACATCCAAACACGCTTTACCTGGAATCCAGGTCTCATGACAAGTACAGACCTTCCGAACTTATCAAGATAATTGGCTCTGTAGATTTTCCCTGTCTCAGCTTCATGAGCAATATCTTCCTAATCAAGAAAATAAATGACTTTCAAAAACACATGATGAGAACATCAGGGAATCATGATTGGGCACGAAAATAGTGTAATTTTCCTATGAATTACCAAATGTGTGCAGTGAATGAAAAAAAAAATGAAAATTCTTAGCAAAGAACTAGTCTGAGGAAAAAGAATACGCAGAAAGAAATTTCTTGTCACAGAGATCCTTTTTATTTATTTTCAAGAGGTATACACCAACTGAACTGGCCTTACATATAGATCACCATGGCATGAACTCATCTCAATGTTCCTTACTCCTGCCCAAAATCCAACTTCAGCAGGTTTCCCTTGACAGGATGCCATTTATTGCAGACCTACCTCCTTACGTGCCCCCCTCACCACCTCCATCAGGGCAATTCACTAGATTCATTGCAAGACAACAAAAACAACAGGGAGAAAGTCTAACCACCAGCTTTGCAGATTCAAAGTTTAAGGGCACCATGGTCTGGATTGAAGATACACATATAGCTCGACCTCAGGAATGAGTATGTCAATAACCAAAAAGTTGCCACGCAAGCCTTCAAGAGTGCAAGGGTATTGGTTCCTTCAGTATTTTAGTAGAAGTACCTAATATAGTCTGACATCTGGAATCAATGAGTTTTCAATTGAAGGGGGTAGGTGGTATTGGTTCCAGCACTATTTTACAGAAGTCCATTCAATTTGAGACAATTTTGCTTTGTGTCTTCAACGATATTCGACGTATCTGGAATCCTCTCTGTATGTTTACCAGCTACAGGGTCCAGATTGATGCACAAAATAAATTAAAATATCTAACTTGAATTCCCAACAAAATATATCTGCTCTTTTCTCATCATGGAAAAGTGAATTTTGATCAAGAAGGCATGAATGGAGTATGGTTTCTGTACCAGGATGTTCTGCTTAATTACATTAATCCGTACTAATAGTATAAGCTTTTTAGAGAAAGAACTTAAAACCTGTAGATGAGATATGGAAAGTAGGCATGCATACCCATCGGATCTTCTCTGGCTTGTATTCCAGCCACCATTTAAGGGCCTCTTTTAACATCTTGCTCGCTTTCTTTGTATTCCAATTCCTTGCTCTGAGAAATCTTAATATTGATGCGTCGGAACATAGAGTTGGAAATTTATTTGCAACAGGACCAATCAACTTTCTGATCTCATTGATCTGGATTGCAAAGAATCAAATCAGCCTCTGGCATAGATTTGTGAGTTTCAAAATTCTAACTTCAAGTTTTAGCACCAAAATCAACAATGAGAAAGGGTTGGATAAATAGAAAGATTTCTGTAATTCAATGGGAAAAAGATTATTTGATAAACTCGTTAATGAAGTAAAAAAGTACCATGTAATGAATATATCAGTTAAATGAACATTTTGCATAAGATTATAAGACACAATTCAGTGCAGTGAAGCTTAATTTGCTATCAGCATAAGATTATAAGACTCAATTTAAGATGTATTCCCTATCTCAGAGAGAAAACATAACATTTAACAATAACTAATATACTCAGACATCCTCCTTGAACTGCAATCTTTGCCGATTAACAATTTCCACAAAACAATTTATAGTTTTAATTGCCTACAAATACGGTGAAGTTCATGATAACGCATCAAGACTAATGTCTGTCAAGGTACCTTAGAAAGCATAAAAAATTTGCAACTGAAGGAGTCGCAGGAGAAAGAGTGAATTCAAAGTAAGCAGACAATAGTTAATGGGTTTAATTTTGTCCTAAATTTTAGCTGAAAATCAACATTTAATTAAGCCAGAATAACATTTAGTTCACTTAAATACAAAAAGGGTTCTTCATTAACAGGATACCGATACGTCTTAGAAGTAGATTAAAACAATCCTTTATATCCACTAAATAAGATCAATATAATTTTATAGAGGAGAAAAGAAAATCAAATACTATATAGAATATAATCAAGAACCTTCGCTTGCTCCTCCTCGGATGACAAATCCTTCCTTACATCATTTGCTCGTAACTTTTTGAATGACATTTTTCTTCCAATTTCCAGTGAGATTACAGCCACCTATGTGATTCAAAGACTCTGTACTCTCATTGCAGAATATACTTGAAATTAAGCACAATATCAATGCAATGACGGATTTAAAGCAGAAACATACAGAACTGGGATGCTGTATCAGAATTACAATATTTCATATTGGTAAACAAGGAAAATTATCTCCAGTTTCAGACCAATGACACATATGGATCAGTTAGCGAGAGATTTTTATTCATTTTGCACTCAAGAAAAACATCACAGATATT